AAATTTTAATTTTCTGATTTTCATTATTTTTTTTTAATTTTCTTCAATTTGTACTTTTGTTAGAGTATCTCCAAAGGGATAGTTAAAAAAGACTTGTTAGACATTTTAGTCAATGTAACTCTAATTTTGAGTTTCAATGAGCTAGCTATTGGGCTAGCTACTTTACCATCTTATTTTTTTGGTGACTACAATTGAAGAGCCCCAGAGGCTCTCCAAACAAATATGTATGTATATATCTTTGATTTTTGTATATTTATGTCTTGGATTTGGGATTTTATATGTATATGCATATATGTAGTAATTTTATATGCTCTTTCAATTCTGTTTGATCAATTACGAAATAATTTATTTTGTATTTTGTATTTTTTTTTTCCTCATTCTACAAGTTTTGAATGTTTTTATGGGCAAATTTATTATTATTGCAAATTTATATTAGTAAAATATCAGAAATTAGTATTTTTTGTTTTAAAAATTAATTAAGTTAGTCTGAATGATTAGCTAAAATAAAGAGTGTAGTTGAAGGACACAATAATTAAAGTAATTAGGTAAAATAAAGAGTGTATTTTTTTTCCTACTTTAATTAGTGAAAAGTAGAAAGTATGATTGGAGTTGCCTTAGGGTTTTCATGTGTTCTTCATCTCTATAATTTTCATCCATTTCACTTTCTTATTCTTTTGTTCTTTCAAACTTCTTTCATTCTGTCCATTTTCAGTTTCATCATCTTTTCCATCTCCAAGAATAATTCTATTAAAATGTTCTTTACAAAAATGCATCTTCATCAAAATCTTGTAGCTGATAATCATTTGCAGAAGATTGTTTCACATGACACTACTAGAAAATTGATTTTTTGCGACTATTTTTTTCTATGACTGCTTGTTTGGCCATCGAAAAAAAAAAATTTCAATTTATATTTAACATTTATTTCTCGTTTTTTTTTAAATTATTTATTTGCTCCATTTCCTTAGTTTTGCCCTAGTTTGGCTCGCTCAACCCCCCTCTCTCTCTCTCTCTCTCTCACCGATTTGAATCTCTCTCTCCCTCTCGATCTCAATCGATTGATCTCTCTAAGAAAGGGAAACGTGTCCAAAACGCCGACTTTTCCGGCAACTTTTTCAACAAGATTTTACCTTGGATCTAATACTTTATACCCATTTGAAATAAACTTTTCACCAATTGTCTCTATTATTTACTGCTAATAAACCAATAAAATAGAATTTCATTACCAATATCTAATCATTTTCTTTTCAGTTTCATAACCCAAAAAAAAAAACCCTTCTCAACTATTAATGATTCTACTCATCTTTAAACTCATATATTTTTATCCCTCAATTATAAAAATGCATTATTTTCACCTCTTAAGAAGAATACCATTTGTCCTATCTTAAAAAAATAATAATAATAACATTTGTACAAGTTTTATAATTGGGAGTCAAAGTACATAAGTTCGTAAATAAGGAGCGGTAAACTAATATTTGCTAATAATTAAAGTAATCTTGGTTTAATTAACCAAGAAAAATAATATCAAATGATCGGGCTTTACAATTTCAATAATGCTAGGAATATAAAAATCAAGTATAGAATCGGCCACAAAGGTGTATAGATGAACACTTTTAAGACTTGTTCGTGAAACCTAATTTTACAAGATCTTATCTAATTTTATTTTTTGGGAAGAAAAGCTATACAAATAACTTCAAGCCTAAGTTATGCATTTAATTTCACATGATTTGGGTCGCACACCCATTGTAACAAGTAGAGTAAAAAATGCGAGTATGCAATAGAACTGGGCTAAAATATTAAGATTTAAATACAACTTAATTATTTGTTTAATATTGTATTCATTTTTTGTTTTTATTTTTCAAAAATAATAGTTTGTATACTATTTTGGTTTTTTTTTTGTTTTTGTTTTTTTTTTATACCAATTCACATTTTAGGAAACAATAAAAATTTCTTTCCTAATTTTAAAAATTGTTTTTGCATTAAAATGGAAATTATATAATTGTGTCAACCTTTCTTTAATTTTGAATAATAATAATAATAATACCAAACAAATCAAATATACATATAGATACGGATATGAAACCCTAACCCTAGAATTGTCAGACAAATTCAAACAATTTCACAATTTATGATTTCAAATTCAAACCCTAATTTATGAAACCCTAGAATTCAAACCCTAACCCTAGCCCTTACCCTAATTTATGATTTCAAATTCAATTGAAAACCCTATAACATTTTCACAATTCAAAACCACAAGATTTTACCAATTCAAAACCACAATTTCAATTCACAAAGCCTATTCTGCCCACATTGATATCAATTTCAATTCACAACATTTTCACATTTACAAATCCTATTCTACCAACATTTTCATCAATTCACAACATTTTCACATTCACAAACCCTATTCTACTCACATTGTACCCACATTCACATTTTCACAAACACAATAAACACATATAAAATTCAAACTGAGAGAGAGAGACAGACAGTCATACCAGCGATAGAGAGAGCAGAGAGCGACCCACACAGAGAGAGAAAGAGATAGAGAGAGAGAGAGAGAGCAGAGAACCCACGGACGAAGAGAGAGAGTGAGAGCAGAGAGAGAGAGAGAGAGAGAGTAGAGTGTGAGAGAGAGTAGATCGGAAAGGGAAAAAAAACTAAGTGTAAAAAGCATGGTTGCAAATGAGGGGGGTGGGTCTTTATATATTAGTTATAAAAGCATGGTTACGAACCATGCTTTCCTTTAAATCCGAGTTTTAGTTAAAAGCGTGATTTCTAATCACGTTTTTTATTCTGGTTAAAAGCGTGGATGCTAAACACGTTTTCTAAAAAAATAAATAAATAAATAAAATAAAAATAAATAAATAAATAAATTTATTTAAAAGCGTGGTTCGTAACCACGCTTTCTATACAAATGAAATTTCTTTAAACGCGTGTTTTATAACCACGCTTTCTTAATTAAAAGCGTGGTTTGTAACAACGCTTTTACGATTTCACCAATTTTTCGCAACTGGGCCACAAAAATGATGAAAGCGTGGTTTGTAATAGCGTTTCAGCTTATTTTGGGAATTCCGTCCAATGTGTAAAGAGTTGTAAATAGAATCACGCAGTTGCAATTTATGAAAGAGTTACACCAAAATGTTAAGGTGGTTAGGAATTTGAATTCCTCTTTTATTGCTCTCATTCCCAGAGCCTACCCTACTAGTGCCTGTTTGGAAAGTGGATTTGGAGGTTGTTTTTTTTAAGTTAAAATAATCACAAAAAATAAAATAAATATTTTAGTTTAATAAGATAAAATATCATATCTAACTTATAATCATTATAAATTTTTTTTCATAAAAAAAATCCAAAATCTTTCCCAAACTAAATTTTTTAATCCTAAATTAAAATAATTAAAAAAATCAAAAACTCAACAACTTCCCGAATCAAGAAAAAGTTAATAGAGCCATCTATGAGACCTAATCAGCTTGATAGGGTGTAGACTGTAGTCACAAGAACCTAGCAACAGTGCTTTCTATTAAAAATAATAATAATAATAATAATAAAGACTTTTCTTAAGTGTGCAACTTACACCTTACACTTACGCCTTTCTATTTGCTGTCCTGTTTTATGTTTACACCTTCTACTTACACATTTTGTATTGGTTGCAGGGGTTGCACACCATAACAGTACCCTAATAATAATAATAAATTACAAATCAAATTTACTTAAAAATCTGAAAATTACTTGAATTTCTATTCACATAATAAATTTGAAAATTACATCCCACTTCTTAAAATTTCTAATCACATAATAAATAATTCTTTTCAAAAATTAATTAATAATTTTTAATTATTTCAACAATATATATCAATTAATTATTCTGATAATTTCATTATTGTATATAAAAATAGTTTTTTTATTAAAAATAAATAAATAAATTTGTTAATTCTATTAAATGACAAATTCTAATAAAAAAATATTTGTAATATTTAAAATCACAAGAGACGATCTATGATGTATTTGTAATTTACCTATGAAAAATGCTTGGGAGCACTAATTAGTGCTCCCACTAATTAGGTGGCAGTGGGTCCCGCCATTAATGATGTGATGTTTTGATGTTGGAGTTGTATTTTTTTATTTTATTTTTTTTTACTTTTTTAATGCATTAGTGCTATTAGTGGTGATGTTTTTAGTGGGATGAATCATTGTTGTTTACCTATATATATATTAGGGGTAAACAACGGATATTTTGATCTGTACAAACTGACCGAACCAAACCGAACCAATCCGTTGCATTTTGAACGAATACATGATGATAAGCGAACAGTTATGGATTGATTTTTTTCAATCCGCCTAGTTTTGGATGATTGACGAATTTAAGGTTTCTTTGACTGCAACCGAATCGCCACACTGCAAGCACCCCTAATAATTTGTAAGACTTTGTATTTTCTATTTATTTAAATATTCCGTCTGTATTTTCAATTGAAAAAGAGTTTAAATATTCTGTTTTGTTTTCAATTTATTTTCAATTTAGAAATCTTTTTATCAAATGACAAATGTTGATATTTGATATTTTTGTGTAAAAAATATAAGACTTAATTATCATTTAAAAAAAAACAAATTAAATAATTTTTGAATAAAAAAAGGTAATGAAATCATTTTGATTACGTATACGTATTTATTATTGATATTTAACAATTTACTTGATAATCTTTTAATTATGCTGAGTTAAATTGTTATAAAAAAAATATAAATAAAAATATTGGCAAGTTGTATTATGTTCAAAATTTATAAAAGTTTAAACAGTCAAACCGATTCGCATCTATCTGCCAATCCGCATCCGTCAATCTGACAGACAGATGCAGATTAATTTTTTTCTAATCCGCCAATCAAACGATCGGATGGCGGATTGAAAGTTATCCGGCCGCAACCGAACCACAAACACCCCTAATGTATGTATTTCTGGTCATGCTTCATGCTTTTCCATAAAATTATCTAGTAACGAAAATTTGCACCAATGACAAATTACAAATTAAGCATTGCATTGCTCTAAAATAACAAATTACAAGGGTGGTGTATATATATGGCATGGTGCTCCATCAAAAAAATTTGCACCTGTGTAAGAACACACAAATAATCCATTTACAAAAACATACAATTGAAGATTGAAAGCTCATAACAACGTATCTTTATATTCTGGAGAAAGGATGGTCCTTAGAAGCTCTTTCAAGTTAGCCAGTACATGGCGTGGGCCTAAACTCGTCACACCAATGAAATTCAAAAGCTGCTCTATGTCCTACATCAAGGGATCGAAAAAGAAGAAAAAAATAATTAATAAGGTAAGGTCCTTCAAGATAATCAGCAAGTGAATGACAAAATCATACGAGTATTTCAATTTATGATATGTAACATGAACAAAAACATAAAATCCAAATAACTAATAAAGTTATATATATAATATATATATATATATAGCCTAACAAGATTAATATATTTATAAAAAAAATATTAAAAAAATAAAAATAACCATCATTTACTTGCATGAGTAAAACTCATAAAGCAGCAATTGACATCACATGTAATGAAGGGGGTACATGATTTGAGAAAACAAAGTGCATCCACTATGTGCTATAAATGGTCAAAATCCCTCGAGATGAAATCAGATAGAACTAAACTCAGTAAAACATACTCATCACCTGCAAGGATTGAAACACAAACCAAATACTACGAAGAATGACATCCACGTGATGCATCCCAGATGATGTGGGATTCATAAGAAGAACAATGGTTTATTAATACCCCAAGACAGGCATTAAGCGAATGGCAAAAATCACACAGGAGTATTTCAATTTAGACATGCTATAAAACACAAGTCGTCTAAGCTAACAAGACTAATAAAAACTTTATTTATTTGTACAAGTAAACTGAAAAGCAGCCATATACATAATTAATGAAGGGGAATATGATTTAAGAAAATAAAGTTCACTATAAATCGTCAAAATCCCTTGATGAAATCAGATGTCAGAACTAACCTCAATAGAAACATTAGTTTCATAACCCATTACCTGCTCTCCCTCTCTTTCTTGGTTTCTCCCTCCCTTCTTTATCTCCTTCTATATCTTCTTACCATGATCTCTCCTTGCTCTTCCTTGTCTTTACTATCTACATATCATCATATCATATAACCACAGGTTTTGACAAAATTATCATGAAGACCATGCTACATCACCAATCCACCTGAACTTGGTCTGCTAAAATGTTACAAGGAAGTAACAGTCGGTATACTTCAACTGTAGTGTTATCAGAAATTATTCCAAGAAAAACTTGTGCCATTTAATCAGATTCAAAATTAGCCAGGGGCGATTGAAAACTTCTAAGAGCAACAAATTCCATAGGACCTAAATTGACACATGAAAACATAGTTCTTTGCTCAAATCTTGAAGTACAAGATAGAATAAAATGGCACCAAACTTGAGACATGGTAGTCAAACAATTGCATTGAAAATAAAACCAAAACAACTATTGAATTTGCATCCAATTGGTAATAGAAAGTTGGAAATACGGTAAATTGTGCTGCTACTTCTTGAGGTTTGACTTCATTACATTGACCTCGCCGATCTTGAACAAATTTATACTGACCTCTCTATTCAAACTTTTTGGATAGACAGCATTACAATCACTACATCCATAATTTTACATGTATTTAATTACTGTTGTTTCAGGAAAAGACCACCAAATTCAGAATAATACCACCATTATCACCTTCTCTTCCATGAAAGCCATACCACTAGAGACCGCACTAATCAGCTATGGCACATCCCAACTCTGTCCCATGAAGGACAACCAACCCTGGTTACCCCAAATGTCCAACAGATTGTTTGAATTTACCGCATCCCCCATCCCAATATTGTTCTTGAAACCACCATCGCCTATCCTCACCCTCCTTAGGCATGGAATCTGTGTTAATTAATATGCCTTTCCATCACCCAAGGATAAAATAAATAAGAATTTTAATTAATTACATTTCCCCCTATAGTTTGGTCCAAAGACACATAACCCTACTGTAATGAGTAAGAATTAGAATTAATTACATTTTCTCCTATAGTTTGGTCTAAAAACACATAACCCTACCGCAATCGGTGCACGTAACTCCCCCATGGTGTGGTCTTAAGTGCAAAATAAGGGGGTTAATGGTTTCTACTATGTCTAAACGACCCTCTCTCTCTCTCTCTCTCTCTCTCTCTCTCTCTCTCTCATCCAATGCCTACATACTCTTCAAAATATGTTAAATACCTATGTCAAATACTCGACACTTCGACAAAGGTGTGGAATAATACTATCATTATGTTAGAATTTACCATTACCTACCACACACTTACCATCACCTACCACACACCCACCTACTACACTCACCTACTCCTCACCTACCACCACCTAACCTACATCTATATAATCAATCAATTGTAACAGAATCAAGATCTATCGATCAATCAATAATACATCATTTTTAACATGGTATCAGAGCAAGTTTAGAATCTAATAATTCTGCTTCACCGGCGGGCGGCAGCCTCGCCTTGGCCGCCCGCCGGACCTCTACACATACGTATTTTTGTGTGAGAAATATAAAGCTTAATTTTATCATTTAAAAAAAAAACAAATTAAATAATTTTTGAATAAAAAAAGGTAATGAAATCATTTTGATTACGTATACGTATTTATTATTGATATTTAACAATTTACTTGATAATCTTTTAATTATGCTGAGTTAAATTGTTATAAAAAAAATATAAATAAAAATATTGGCAAGTTGTATTATGTTCAAAATTTATAAAAGTTTAAACAGTCAAACCGATTCGCATCTATCTGCCAATCCGCATCCGTCAATCTGACAGACAGATGCAGATTAATTTTTTTCTAATCCGCCAATCAAACGATCGGATGGCGGATTGAAAGTTATCCGGCCGCAACCGAACCACAAACACCCCTAATGTATGTATTTCTGGTCATGCTTCATGCTTTTCCATAAAATTATCTAGTAACGAAAATTTGCACCAATGACAAATTACAAATTAAGCATTGCATTGCTCTAAAATAACAAATTACAAGGGTGGTGTATATATATGGCATGGTGCTCCATCAAAAAAATTTGCACCTGTGTAAGAACACACAAATAATCCATTTACAAAAACATACAATTGAAGATTGAAAGCTCATAACAACGTATCTTTATATTCTGGAGAAAGGATGGTCCTTAGAAGCTCTTTCAAGTTAGCCAGTACATGGCGTGGGCCTAAACTCGTCACACCAATGAAATTCAAAAGCTGCTCTATGTCCTACATCAAGGGATCGAAAAAGAAGAAAAAAATAATTAATAAGGTAAGGTCCTTCAAGATAATCAGCAAGTGAATGACAAAATCATACGAGTATTTCAATTTATGATATGTAACATGAACAAAAACATAAAATCCAAATAACTAATAAAGTTATATATATATATATATATATAGCCTAACAAGATTAATATATTTCTAAAAAAAATATTAAAAAAATAAAAATAACCATCATTTACTTGCATGAGTAAAACTCATAAAGCAGCAATTGACATTACATGTATGAAGGGGGTACATGATTTGAGAAAACAAAGTGCATCCACTATGTGCTATAAATGGTCAAAATCCCTCAAGATGAAATCAGATAGAACTAAACTCGGTAAAACATACTCATCACCTGTAAGGATTGAAACACAAACCAAATACTACGAAGAATGACATCCATGTGATGCATCCCAGATGATGTGGGATTCATAAGAAGAACAATGGTTTATTAATACCCCAAGACAGGCATTAAGCGAATGGCAAAAATCACACAGGAGTATTTCAATTTAGACATGCTATAAAACACAAGTCGTCTAAGCTAACAAGACTAATAAAAACTTTATTTATTTGTACAAGTAAACTGAAAAGCAGCCATATACATAATTAATGAAGGGGAATATGATTTAAGAAAATAAAGTTCACTATAAATCGTCAAAATCCCTTGATGAAATCAGATGTCAGAACTAACCTCAATAGAAACATTAGTTTCATAACCCATTACCTGCTCTCCCTCTCTTTCTTGGTTTCTCCCTCCCTTCTTTATCTCCTTCTATATCTTCTTACCATGATCTCTCCTTGCTCTTCCTTGTCTTTACTATCTACATATCATCATATCATATAACCACAGGTTTTGGCAAAATTATCATGAAGACCATGCTACATCACCAAGCCACCTGAACTTGGTCTGCTAAAATGTTACAAGGAAGTAACAGTCGGTATACTTCAACTGTAGTGTTATCAGAAATTATTCCAAGAAAAACTAGTGCCATTTAATCAGATTCAAAATTAGCCGGGGGCCATTGAAAACTTCTAAGAGCAACAAATTCCATAGGACCTAAATTGACACATGAAAACATAGTTCTTCGCTCAAATCTTGAAGTAGAAGGTAGAATAAAATGGCACCAAACTTGAGACATGGTAGTCAAACAATTGCATTGAAAATAAAACCAAAACAACTATTGAATTTGCATCCAATTGGTAATAGAAAGTTGGAAATACGATAAATTGTGCTGCTACTTCTTGAGGTTTGACTTCATTACATTGACCTCGCCTATCTTGAACAAATTTATACTGACCTCTCTATTCAAACTTTTTGGATAGACAGCATTACAATCACTACATCCATAATTTTACATGTATTTAATTACTGTTGTTTCAGGAAAAGACCACCAAATTCAGAATAATACCACCATTATCACTTTCTCTTCCATGAAAGCCATACCACTAAAGACAGCACTAATCAGCTATGGCACATCCCAACTCTGTCCCATGAAGGACAACCAACCATGGTTACCCCAAATGTCCAACAGATTGTTTGAATTTACTGCATCCCCCATCCCAATATTGTTCTTGAAACCACCATCACCTATCCTCACCCTCCTTAGGCATGGAATCTGTATTAATTAATATGCCTTTCCATCACCCAAGGATAAAATAAATAAGAATTTTAATTAATTACATTTCCCCCTATAGTTTGGTCCAAAAACACATAACCCTACTGTAATGAGTAAGAATTAGAATTAATTACATTTTCTCCTATAGTTTGGTCTAAAAACACATAACCCTACTGCAATGGGTGCACGTAACTCCCCCATGGTGTGGTCTTAAGTGCAAAATAAGGGGGTTAATGGTTTCTACTATGTCTAAACGACCCTCTCTCTCTCTCTCTCTCTCTCTCTCTCTCTCTCTCTCATCCAATGCCTACATACTCTTCAAAATATGTTAAATACCTATGTCAAATACTCGACACTTCGACAAAGGTGTGGAATAATACTATCATTATATGTTAATATTGTTGTATAGGTGCTATCAAATGAGAAATTGCATTTTTGTTACATATAACGCAATTTTATTTGACATATAAAAATATGACACTTTTTTGTCAAGTTCGTGGACCCTTAAATTTGAGGGTTGATAGGACCAACTTTTAGATGTACACCTGCACCCGACACCCATAACCGACTACATGTGACGTAGTACATATCTATGCACACCCTCTCCACATGCATCTCTATACATACCTATATGTGTGTGTGTGTGTATATCAAGCATCTGTCATGCATATATATACATACATATGTAACATATCGTTTGTTGTTTGCACAAAGAGAGAGAGAGAGGGCTGTAGGCGGTGTCACCTACATGGGCACCATTCTCGAAACCAACTAAATGGATGGAGGCTCAACCGAACAGGACTTGGGCATCAGTTGTGACTTTAAATTTTTTTTTTCTTTTTTTTTTTTTTTTTTGAACAACAACAAAACAACTTTATTGAAATAAAAGTTGAGAACAAGGGGAGGACAAGAAGTCCTCATACAAAGTCAAGAAACCCTCAAGAAGTCCTCATACATGGGCACTATTCTCACCATCATCATGCCTGTTGGTGAAACCCTCAAACCCTTGTCCCCATATCAGCTATACCACCAAATGCAGTATGATCTCAGTGAAATTGGAAATGATACTATAGGCCTTCCAGGTGACATAGGGCGTATGGGAGAGAGGATCTGCAAGGCTGTTACTGTGTGGACTTATTCAAAAATTAAAAAAAAAAAAATTGTGGCTATACAACTGAAATTAGAGGTGTGTATAGAAGTGTATATGTGTATGTGTGTGCATATATACATTTACACAGAGAGAGAGATATGGAGAAAATAAATTTGTGCGTTCATTCTTGCCTTGGCAGTACAATTACAGTTCCCACAACCACCTCACCATTGTTTTGTTTTGATTGCAAAGATGTACAAATGAGAGGGAGGGAGGGAGGGAGGGAGGGGGTGACGATTAATGATGGCAATGGTGGTGGGGGGTGGGGCGTGTTGTTTTGTAACCCTTTAAAAGAGAGAATGTGAAGAGAAAAAATGGGTGAAAGTATCGAGGGAGTGAAGTGAGTTGAAGTGTTTGTGAGAGAGTTTTTCCTCCTTTTGGTTTAATAGTGGTAGTGGTGCCTTGGTGGTGGAGACATTGGCAATGGCAGCAATTGTGGTGTGGCTGTGGTGGATTGAAAGGGGAAAAAATGGGTGAAAAAAAAAAAGTAGAAAGGGAAAAAAAAATTAATGAAAAGGGGCATTAGAGTAGTTTACACTTCAAAATTAGTTCCAGCAGAGTCAAAATGTGCGTAAAATAAAAGTGAGTTAAACATGCTCATATCTCTAATGAGCTCTATTAGTTTTGCACTTCAGTCCCAACAACATGAGTAATAAAGAGATGTTTACATGAGTAGACAATGACAGTGAATTCAGAGAACCTGCTGCTCTAGGCCCTAGAAACAACCGATCCTCTTTCTCAGATCTTGAGAGAGGCAAAAGAAATAACAATGACACTGCAGCTCAGAAGGATGGCATAGAGAAAGCTAGTGTAGTGTATATGGTGACAAAAAGATGGGACAGGGACATGAATGATTCTTTTATATAAAGGTGACTTAAGAACTGCCTAGGAAATATATTGGCATTTAAGTTCATTCGTCACGTGATGCTAGATCTCCCCTATTCCAAATCCAGCCAACAAGATGGGCCAGCCACTGTAGTCTTTCCGAACCAAGACATACGCCCATCTAATCCCTACCCAACCTGTCCTCTAATAGGCCGTTTACAATCTACGTTACACGGGCTTCGGTATGAATGTTGGGCGCAAGCATGTATCTGTGTCAGATTCATCTAATTTTCATGTTGAAGAACACAGTGACATGACAAAATATTCATATTTCTTAATATACTTCTTTTATTTTCTAGTGTAAAATAATGTTACCAACGTGTAATTGAGCATTTCATGCATAGTATTGAGGTTTTATACATAGTCATATGGTAAGCTCAAAATACTAAATATATTTACTAGGTGAATGTCTAACTTATATGTCAGACACATACCTATATCCTTACCCAAGTGTGGATTGCCGAACACAGTTACTTCATTCAGTTAGAGAAGTCCATGTAACATAGGTTATAATTACAATTCCTCGAAAACTGGTATGACATCCACCATTACCAGAGCTAGCAACAATCATTGAAGTGGGGAATGTTGATTACTTCATAAACCTTATCATTCCCTCACCCTACTCTCATATAAGAATAGAAAGAAACAATACACGAATTAGTGAAAGATCAAGCCTATACTTTCACTCTCAAATTTCCCTGTTCTCTCCACAATTTCTATCCGAAATCTTGCAGTACTTTTCCCCTGTACTTCCTCTCCTTAAATCTCTTAGGTCTCCTCCTATTTCTTCTCTACTTCTGTGTTTGCCCAAGTTTACCTCAAAACCAAAGAAAGCATCCAGCCGAAACTAATTAACAAAAGAGGATTTGACCCCTTTTTTTAAATCATATAGTTGAAAAAGAATTTGGTCCAGTCCAACAACAAATACTAAAGGAGTTCATAAACCTAAATCATATAAACCCGAGCAAACCAAAAAAAAAAAACTATAAAACATGAGTACGTAATTAGATTCTCTTCAACAAATGGCAGCACAAATTTGATCTTATTATTTGTATCCGCATCTCCATAAGTATTATAAACCCACGGATAGCATTTGAACAAAAAAAAAACACACCTTGTTAAGCAAAAATACAGCATAAGCTGCTCTTGTTGTCTCTTGACCATCTAAAAAGAGAGGAAATTCTGTAGGCTTTAAATCGGAGGAATGTAACGAATTTGATGCTGAATCAGATGATGTAGGCTCTGCTGAAGGTGCATGGTCATGAATATATGATCGAGAACCTCCCAATCGCAAAGGGTAACGCAAGGGAACTTTTAAATAAGAAGCAATAATCAAAACAGCCTGCAAGAAAACAAACAAATTAAATCAACTTTTAGTTATTTTGTACCCAGCTAACCAAGCCAGTAAAAAGTTCTGATGACTAAACTGCACCAAAAAGTAATTACACAATTGAAACAATTAATTTCTTCTTTAAAACAATAAAACTAACAATTTCATTGAGTGCAAATAAACATATCATCTATATATCAATTATTCTTTCCTGGAGCAAATGGTTTCAAAAACCATGGATATTAAAATTAATCAACAAGTATGTGCTACTTAATAATTTTATGCCAGGCAAAGAGAAAGCACACACATGAGCGACATATCCCAGGGCAGTTGCAGATCTCTGAACCTCCTTCTTATCAGTGAAAAAACTCATCTTCTTAAAAGGGAGCACAGTGAGATGTAGACCTGAAATAGTCAAGGGTCCTTCATCAATAGGTTTTGATCCAGCAGAATTTCCTGAAAAGCAAAAAAGAAAAGGAAATAAACAGACTCTCAGAACCAAATTGTAGATATTAAGACAGAAAAATCATAAAACATTACAGCTGATGACAGCAGAACTATATGACCTGCATTTAAGAGACTTAAATAAAAAAGTAAAGTCCAACCATCGGTTGTATTGTATATCAGCATGTACATCCAGTCAATCATAAGCTAAGAAGCATAGACACACATGGATAAGGAACAAGGGATGTGGCAATTTTCAAAAAATTAAGATACACAGTGGGGATACTGTAAAAATATATAAAAATACATATTTGTATATAATTATTTGTTAATTTTTAACCACAAACAACCAAAAACAGTGAAAAGCTAACACTAATTCAACATGAAAAAAAGATTCAATTTATAATTTAAACATCATTTAACATACAAAATATTATTTCATCAACCATGAACCATTGAATCACAATGTCAAAAGCATTTAAGTTCAATAATGAATATAAGATGCAGATAATTATATGTTGTTAGCATTTACCAAAAGTTTCAACCCAAAATTCCACAAAACTAATGCAAATGGGAGCAGATAATTAATATGGTGTTGACATTTACCAAAAATTTTACAAAAAAGAAGAGTTTTAAATGAACTTAACTTGAATATTCTGTGATGCACAGTTTTGATATGTGCACACCAACACAATCACACTCTCAATTTTGTACAATTTAAATATATTTATATATATATATATATAAATCATAACAGGCTTCCAATTAATAACCATATTACCTGATCTACTACTGCCAGCAAAAAATTCAAGTTCTTGCTCATATGCATGCCCAGTCACAACCTTCACGGGATAGAGCAATGAAACTTGTGATATCAAATGTTGTTGCCTCACTCTCAGCAACTTCTGCACACTTCTCAGATGAACATAACCTCTTTCTCCGGCGAGTAATCTATTTGCTTCCTGCATTAAATTCATAATCAATTTTCATATAGCGTAAAAATGTATAAAAGTAGTAACTTTATCCCACAAACCACCCATCACCCCAAAGGGAACAGAAATGTTGTTAGGGTGTGAGAGCAGACACTGCTGTAAGGGTTAGAGAGAGAGAGAAAGAGAGAAATGAAGGTGGTGGGTCAGTGGGTCTCCATCTCTGGGAGATGATGGTAAGCTCATGGTGGTGGGTCTTGGTTTTATAAAGAGGAAGAGAGAGAGAGAGAGAGGGGGCAATGGTGGTGGAGCTTGTAAAGGGTGGCCACAGCCATGAAAGTTGCAGGTGTGGAGTGTATGTTATTGGGGTTCTTGGGCAAGGGTGGTGGTTGTTCACAATAGTTAGTCGTGATGACAGAAAGAGAGTGAGAGAGATACAAATGGGGATAAGGAGAGAGTGAGAACCATGTGGCATAAGGGTGGCAGCTATGGCAAAGGTTGCCGGAGGTGAAGACAATGGTCACAGTGGTTGCCTTCAGCTACAAGGGGGTCTTTGGGTAAATTTGGAATCCATGGGGGAACGTATTAACTATTCCTTCTCTCCAAGAGTAGAATAGTCATTCCAACAAATTGTGAGAATGACCCCATTCCAGCTTCCTTTGCTATAATCAAACATGAGAAAGGGAATGGGAAGCTGGAATGGGCATCAATTCAAGTTAATTCCCACGCACCAAACATGCCCTTACAAGCGTTGTCATGGGTAACAAAAATTTTGCAGGCCAGTTCAACTGTTTGCCTATCCACCTCATTAAACCTCTAACATATCAGCCTTCAAAAAGCTAACACTAAAGCATTTACTAGCAACTGGACTTTTGCACGAAAACAAACAATAGCAGAGTCATAACTCCTTTTTTGTAGAATATAGATAAAATTGATTCTTGTGAAGAGTTGATAATTAAAGAGAACATGGTGTATATTATACAGCGTAGATGACGAAACCATTTTAGGACCAATCGACATAGTCAAAAAAACAAATTGGAGAAAACTACTTAATGAACTGATAATTAGTTTTATCCACACGCAAAAAAAAAAAAGAAAGAAAAAAAATTATTAGGGGGTCATTAGAGTTTTAAGGTTTGTAAACAGTCCACAGTGTATTAACACAGACGTACTGAACATCACAAGCAGATACACAGCGACTTATAGAATCCAACATGTCACAGAACCCATTGCTATTCACCTATGAAGCAAAGACACTTCAAAATAGGCATCGTAGTAGTGTCGGACACAGACATGCTGGGGACATGTAATTTTATTATATTTTTGCACGGAACACTGCAGGGACACAAAAACATCCTCCGTTTCTCTACTTTTGCCCTAAATCCCAAAATCAGAAGAACAGAAAGAGAAAAAAAGAAAGAGTGAACAAGGCTTCCTTCTTTAGCCAATCCAAAAATCAAAACAGCATTTGAGAAAGGAACATCATTGTATATTTAAAAAATAACATGAACAAGGCTTCAATTCAAAGTTGTAGTCCCTTTATCACTTCATACAAGTCCCAGTTAATTGACAACATAGACTACATTCATTATGATAACATTGCAGTACAACAACAGCTGGGCTAACATAAGCAGTAAGAGCCAGTTAATTTTTTTTTGTGGACTATCAAGTATGAATGAAAAGCATCATTTTGATAGATATATATTAGGATTACCTGCAAACGCTTACTAGCTACAGAAAGAGCTGTCCCAGCAACCAAAAGAGATCTAATTTCATTGCTGAGTCTCTCCTCTTCCTTTTTAACATTATCTTCTACGACCTTCACATGCATTGACATATTTCCCATCACCAGTTTTCGAGATTCCAATTTCTCATGCATATCATCTAGCTGATTTGACCAATGTAACGACTCTGCTTTTACCTGCCCACCATGTAACCACCCGCTATTCCGCGGGCTCATTTAATTTAAAACCCAATGAATATAACAAGAACATATAAACATGGAACAGTTAACCTTGAAATACAAGACTTCTTCATATTCATTCATCTACTAATTCTTTCTTTAATCTAAGGAACTGCAAAAGCTACGAAAAAGAAAATTAAGTCTCATGTTTTCTACTTTTTCAATTCATTTAAACCAAAAACAAATAAAAGTAAAAATAAAAAAGAAGAAGTAAATAAGGCGTGTTTAATATCTTTTTTTTTTTGGTCTCAAAGACAACCAAAATTGATAAGAAAAACTTGTTTGCAAAACTATTTTCTGAAAAGATCCCATTTTTAGAAAACACAACAAGAAGCACAGACTCTTTTAAAAAGGTAGTGTGTGTGTATCTAACATATGCTAGACACCTATACTCATCTGGCACTTCCAAAACATGTTGGACACGTGTCCTAGCATTTTTTTTCAAAGAAATTAGACTTGTATATACTTATGACACTTGCGCAGACACTTGTTCATTGCTTACGGACACATGAAACACATTACATGTTTAGACAAAATAACTTAGGATCTCATGATGAAATAAAAACAACATAGATTTATACCTATTAATCCATCTCCTCCTTCAAACTTTAGAAATTTGTGTTCAGTTACATATATTTATTAATTTTAAATGAAATATTCATATACAATTAATAAATATATAAAATCATATATTTTGTGTGTTTCTCCCATGTGTAATAATTCATTTTTTGAAAATTGTCATATTAGTGTATGTGTCATTGTTTGTGCGTGTGACGTGTCACAAGTTTGTGCTTTTCGGAAACCCATTTACGTGTTTTCAAAATTTCCGCAAAATGATTTCCTGCAAAAAGGGTATTCTCAAACTTTTCATTATTTTTGTTCCCAAAAACACGGACTCCCTCTGTTATCATAATTTTATGATTCACAATTCAATTCACGATTCTATTCGCCATTCATGCATAAATCGATACAAATCTATGCATGAATTTATTTTGGGGATAGAATCTATAGTGAATTGCATGATTCGCTATTTCAATTAACTTTTCATGATTCATACAATTCTTGAAACTATTGTATCTAACAGATTCAATCCCTTTTTACAATTTTTTTTTTAATGCAAATAACATAATACAACTTCTAAGAGTATTTAGTACAAAAATAACCAATAACTATGCATGATTTGTTATTATTTTAGTGATTAGAGGATTGTTAATAGAATCTAATCAGAACAGTCAAATCTAACAACTTCTTAGCCTTTTCTTTTCATTTTTCCCTAAAACAATTACATAATGCATCTTCTAAACACGTTTAAGGTTAAAGTAACTTGCACCCACAAATTATCTATTGTTATTGTAGTGAAACAAATATAATTTAATATTACATTCATATGGTTTTTATCGATCTTGAGAAAGCATATGATAGAATACCTCAGGATATAATCTGGTGGTGTTAGAGAAGAAATGAGTGACAAAACGTTACATTGATGTGATTAGGAATATGTATGAAATTGTGATGACCACTATTAGATCGCTTGCTGGAGAGACAAGTGAATTTTCAATTACTGTAAGGTTACACTAAGGATCAACCTTAAATCTTTATCTTTTTCCTTTAGTTATGGATAAGTTGAAAAGAAATATTTAGGATGAGGTGCCACGGTGTATTCTTTTTGCAGATGATATCATGTTAATGGATGAGACTAGAGAATGAGTTAACACTAAGTTGGAGACTTGGAGAGAAGCATTTGAATCTAAAGGATTTAGGATAAGCAACACCAAGACAGAGTACATGGAGTGTAGTTTTAGTAACAGTAACAATGGAAATAGAGGAGAAGTGAAGACTGAGAATCAAGAACTACCTAAGAGTGAATATTTTTGTTATTTAGAATCGATTATTACAACAACTGGGAAGATTTGAGAGAATGTGGTCCATAAAATTAAGGCGAAGTGGCTTAAGTGGAGAAGTGCGTCTTTATTGTACGATAAACGAGTACCTACTAGACTAAAAGGGAAGTTCTATAAAATGACTATTAGACCCAGTGTTGTGAAAATCGCGCCTAGGCGCAAGGCGAGGCGAGGCGCGGCGCACTGCCTGCGACTGAACAGGTACCAGGCGAGGCGCTTTTAGTTAGGCGCGCGCCTTAGCAGCGACTGGAACCAGGCGAGAGAGGCGCAAGGCTCTGGCCTAGGCGCAACTGATTGTATAAGAGGTAGATCTGATCTAACGACTCAGATGAACCTTTCGAATGGCTCGTAATCAGAGAGGATTACAACTCATGTACCATATGAGCCAAATACGACTCAAATGAACCCTAATCGAAGTCGTCTCTTCCTCTTTCGCCTCGCAATCGACTTCGATTGGGCTGCTGGAGCTGGACTTCGACTGCGACACTGGACTTCAACTTCGGCTTCGCAGGTCTGTTCGACTTCAACTCTCTCTCCCCTTCTCCTTCTTCTTCGTCTTCGACTTTCAGTTTTGCTTTTTTTTTTTTTTTTGGGCTTCGACTTCTTCAGTGCTCTGTTTTGCCTTCGACTCTTCCTCTCTCTCCTTCTTCAGTGCTCTGTTTTGCTTCTTTTTTTTTTTTTTCTTTTTTTTTCAATTATTTGAGTTGAGTCTCTGAAAAAAAATGTAAGAGCAGAATTTACAAAAAAAATTATAAAAATCAGGGGAAAAAAAATTATTTGTAATATGTAAGAGAAGAATTTATCTGTTAGGGACAAAAAATTACAAATAATTAATTATTTGTAATATGCTATTGATATTTTTTTTCCTTTATCTATTAGGGAAAAAAATTACAAATAATTAATTATTCACAAATAATTAATTAATACAATGTGGTATTGGTCTTTTTTTTTCCTTTATCTGTTAGAGATTAAATTTGTTTTCCATTTATTCTTTTAATACAATTATTTTTCCATTTATTAAATTTGTTGGTAGAAAATGACATCGGAAAGTAATAGAAAAGATCCAGCGTGGCAATATGCCCATTTGGTAGAGGAGAATAATTTAAACAAGTTCGAGTGTAATTTTTGTAGTAAAGTATCAAATGGAGGTGTTTATCGGGTGAAACAACATCTCGCGGAAGGTTATAGGAATGTCACTGCTTGCCCGAAGTGTCCTTCTCATGTAAGAGACGAGATTAGAGAGTTCATGTCAAAAAAAAAGACACAAAAAGAAGAAATGAACATGTTGCCTGATTTCGATGGCATAAATATGGAAGAGGAAGATGAAGATGAAGATGTCGTTGAGATCAATGTCAATCAACACCGTAAGTTGACAAGTAGTAGCCAAAGTTCATCCAAATCCAAATCAAAAATGCCAAAGAGAAAAGGGCCTATGGATGTTTACTTCACACCCAATCCTGAATCAGTGGTGAAAAATCGAAAAGACCAAGCAAAAGGGAAACAAACCAATGCAAATGGCCCTTACAAAAAAGAAATGAGAGCTCAGGCAGTGCAAAGATTTGCAAGATGGATGTATGATGCTGGTATCCCTTTTAATGCAGTAAATTATGAGAGTTTTGGACCAATGATTGAAGCCATTAGCCAATATGGTCCTGGTATGAAGCCACCGACTTACCATGAAGTGCGGGTTACCCAACTCAAAAAAGAAGTGAAACATACTGAAGATTTGATGAAGAATCATAAAGAGGATTGTGCAAAATACGGGTGTTCCATAATGGCTGATGGTTGGACTGATAAGAGAGGAAGGACATTGATTAACTTTTTAGTTAATTGTCTAAGAGGAACCATGTTTGTTGAATCGGTTTCAAAGGATGGGCAAAAGCTATTTGAATTACTAGACAAGTTTGTGGAGAAAGTTGGAAAAGAGAATGTGGTGCAAGTTATCACTGATAGTGCTGCAGCTAATGTGTTGGCGGGTAAGAATATTTCCTCATTCCTTACATCAAAATTGTTTACTCATAGTTTGTTTTGTATTTAAAATTTAAAAACTTGAAAATAATAATTCTTCGTTATTGTTACATTATAGGGAGGTTTTTGGAAGCTAAGTATGAACACTTGTATTGGACACCATGTGCTGCTCATTGTTTGGACTTGATGTTAGAAGACAGTTTCAAGATACCTAGACTGAAAAAGACATTTGAAAGGGGTATTGCAGTACATGGCTACATTTACAATCGGCCTACGTTGCTGAACATGATGAGGCGCTATACAAATTTGAAGAATTTGATCAAGCCTGCAAAAACTAAATTTGCAACCGCCTTTTTAACTTTGTCTAGGATGCATCAACAAAAAAACAATTTGAGAAAGATGGTCACCTCCGAAGACTGGACCTCAAACAAATGGGCAAAGGAGCCACAAGGTAAAAGAATGGCACAAACTTTGTTGATGCCTTCATTTTGGAATACTGTTGTGTTTGCCCTTAAGGTCTCGGGTCCTCTTGTCAAAATGTTTAGATTGGTTGATACCGAGAAGAAACCTCTCATGAGATACATTTATGAGGCAATGGATAGGGCAAAAGAATGCATTGCAAGTTCATTTGATCATAAAGAAGAGAAGTATAATGAAATTTTCTAAATTTTCGACAAAAGATGGGATGTCCAATTGCATCGGCCTTTACATGCAGCTGCGCATTTTCTTAACCCAAAATTCTTTTACCCAAAAGCGTTAGAGGTGCAAAAAAATCATGAAGTGATGAATGGGTTTTATGAATGCATGCAAAGGTTGGTCCCGGATGTCACTGTTCAAGATTTGATCACTAATGAGATGAGTATTTATATGAAGGCTGAGAGTCTTTTTGACAAGTCTGTTACAATTAGGCAAATAAATACGAGAGCACCAGGTAATATATTATAAACTCATAGAATTTATTTTTAGTAATATTTTTAGTAAAACTCAATACTTGGTAACAGTTATTTTTAACTAGTGGATTATCGCAACTGATTGGTGGGCATCATATGGTTCTTATACTCCAAACTTGCAAACTTTTGTGATAAAAGTCCTTAGCCTAACATGTAGTTCATCGGGTTGTGAACAAAATTGGAGTGTATTCGAACATGTGAGTATTTAATATTCTAACTAATTTTTTGTTCAATTCAAATATTTTTTATTCTCATTATATAGAATTTAATATCGTTTTAATACTTGCAGCTTTATAGCAAGAAAAGAAATAGATTGGAACAACGTCGTCTCAATGATTTAGTGTATGTCAAATACAATAGAACATTGAGATTTTGGTATGACATGAGCAACACCCTTGATCCCATATCTTTGCAAAATATTGATAAAAGCAATGAGTAGTTGCTTGGGAGGATGGATGGAGAATCAGATGAAGATAATGAGCCTGTGTTTGATGATGATGATGGCTTGACGTGAGCCACTGTTGCTAGAGCTTCTGGAGTAGAAGAAAGTAGCCATAAAAGTAGAGCAACAAGTTCACGCTCAAAGGCACAACTGAGGATATCTAAATCATCAACATTGACTCCACTTCAATTAATAGATGAAGAGGAAGCAGACTCAGATGACACAGAGGAGGAAGATGTTGAGGGATATAAATCAACTGATGAAGAAGAAGATGTTACCATTGATGTTGAGGATGATGATTGACTGACACCGACCTAACCTACCCTTTCTTTTGATATTGATGTTTTTAAGTGTTAAGACGTATATTAGTATTTATTGGATATTTATATTTTGGATGTTTAGTGTTTATGTTTTTATTTTTATTTTATTGAATGTGAATTATTTGATCTTTGAAAATTGAAATGTTATGTAATATGCACTTTCATGGCTTTGAGAATTATTCTATATTTTGTCTTGAATCTTGATTACTTTTTATTTTTTAAAAAATTGTCTTAGTACTATGAATGATTAGTCTATGTTAATTTTTCTATTTTTTACGAAGACTGTGCGCCTTACTTCAATAAAGCCCACGCCTCGCCTTGCGCCTAGGCCCCCAGGGACCTTCAGCACCTTAATGCGCCTTGAGCCTTTAAAAACACTGATTAAACCAGTGATGTTATATGAGTCAGAATGTTAGGCAACTAAGAAAAAATATGTAAATAAGATGAGTGTTGCTGAGATGAAAATGCTAAGGTGGATGTGTAGCAAGACCAGAAAAAATAGAGTTAGGAATAAGTATATTCAAAATGGGTAAGGGTAGTACTGATAGAAGATAAGTTGAAATAGGATAGATTGAGATGGTTTGGTCATATACAACAGAAACTAACAGAGGCAGTAATGAAACGATGCGATATAGTGACAGTAGAAGGAATGGCTTGGGGAAGGAGTAGATTTAGATTGACGTGGACTAGTGTAGTAAATAGAGACATGAACCTCCTTAATTTGACTAACAAATAGCCTTGGATAGAGTCGAGTAGAGAAGAATAATTCATATAATCGATCCTATTTGATGGGACTTAAAGCTTGGTTTGATTTGGTTTGGTTATTACATGGGTCAAGTAAATCAGACCCAATGGTTTCGCCACTTATGCACACCTTTTAAAAAGTTTTAGGTTTTAAAAGAAAGGACTTCATTTAATTCTTTCTTCTTGTTAGACTCTATATAGGATTCTTAGGTCCATTTTTTTTTATTTTGTTGGCACCAGGTGTCCGGATCAAAACCCGACTAATCCCCAGCGGTGTACATGCCCTCGGGTAGGGAGTTTCTCGTAAGTGCACCACGGCTAATTTAAGGAATTTTTCTCCGGTCCGATGGCCCAAGGAATTGTTAGCACCTAAGAAGTATCGATCCCTAGAACCTTGGAGGAAACACACCCTCAAGACCCAAAGCCTTGCCATCAGGCCAACTTTTGAGGTTATTCTTAGGTTCATTTTTTGAATATCAAGAGAGATTATATTATGATTTTTGAATAATTTTACCGTTAGGCGAATTTTAAATCACATCTCTTACTATGAAGACAATGCCTTCCGAATTAAATGGTGCAACCATATCCTTACATAAGAACAATTTTATTCCATTCTTTAATATTTTAATATTTTTCATATATACGATTGTTTAACATTATTTTTATACTTTGTATTGAATCTTAACGATTTTCCATTTGATTCGACTTGATTCACATTCGCAAAATTTTGATTCACGATAAGATTCTCAATGTGACAACTATATGGCCTACAAAAAAATTAAAAAAAAAAAAAAAAAAAAAATTAAAAAATTGAAAATATCGAACATGATAACAATACCAAACAAGCCCTAAATAATGAACTAAGTATTTCTCTGTGTTAATTGGTTTTTTCAATTTTCCCAAGAACTTAAACAAATAAGTAAAATTTTAATTTTATTTGTCTTTTCTTTTTCTCAAAATTCTTGAAAGCCAACTAAAGGGTCAAGCTTAAGCAATTGAAGAAAGAAGACAAGTCTTCTAATGATCAATTGCTCCCTAACCTAGCCATTGTTGTCCGTAATTTCTAGATCAAATGCAACTCTTAATCAAACTTCTAACATATATTTCTTTCAAGGCTTCAATTTTCAAAAGTTTCCTTGTCATTTTTCTCCCCAACCAAATAGTTTCAAACACTACTTCTATGAACTTATTACAAGGTAGAAAAACACCATGCCACATGAATTCTCATGCAAATAGACAATACGAATCGGAATTTCCAACTATAACTCAACTTAGGAACTCTTTTTCTCTTTTGTATTTTTTACACAAAGACAAACAAATAGGAACTTCAAGTTTCTCATTTCTTATGGACCCAAAAGGACTCCTTTCTCTTTTTTTCATTTGCCAAAATTCCACGCTTTTTCTTTATTCCATTTCTTCATCAACTAAAGAGAAGGCATAATTTGAAATGCAAAAGATAGGAGAATAAATAAAATTATTGGACGCAGAAAACCAAGCTTTGAACTCTTCTTGGAAGGGTATATCAAGGTTAGGGACACCATTTTAATTTCATCCCTTTTCAGCCACTTCCTCATCAACAAAATGTGGTTACACGAAAACCCTTGCTGCTTTTGGAATGCAAACTTTCTAAGAAGGGAATCCTTCAAGTCTGGGACGCAAAGAAAGTAAAAAAAACTCTAATTATCTCTTTCATTCACAACTAGCCTTTATAAAGACCACCTTCTTCTTTTTTCCTCAGTTTTCATTCTAGGAAACCAGATGAACGTAAACCATTATGCTCAAATTTTAATTACATTTTCAGCTAGTTCAGAAGCTAAGAACTTTTAATTAAGCAAACACTTAAATTTTCAAAACTCAAGTAAAGTAAAACTTTATTTAGCTTTCAATTCATTACTATATATTTGTCTACTAATTTAACCTCTTTTGTTTTTTTTATTCTCAAAGACCATAAGAATCTAAACCACCTGGCGGAAGAAAGGCAGAAATGAATTGAATTCTATATGTCTGTACTCGGTGTAGTGATAAAACCTTAGTTGTTTGAGGAATTCAAAAGGAAATCCCTAAATATTCATAACCACAAAACAAGTAAACCCTCTATTAACTCTCTATCAACTCATTCTTTAACAGCTAATAATAGCCATATTTCAGTCCTCTATTGATTTCCATTATTATTCAAATTCATCCTTGGAATTAAAAAACTAAGAGAACAAAAACCATCAGATACAAAGCATAAATTATCAAAATTGACTGGAAATGAAGTAAAAATTGAGCATTTAACAAATAGACAGCTTCAATTTTGAGAACCCCAGAACATGTAAGCCCTAATTGATCTCTTTTTACTTCTCTTTTTATGTCATCTGACATAATAAATGAATTAAAACCCTACCTGTATGTGGGAGTCGAGTTGCTGTTGAAGCAAGAGCTTCTTCTCCTTAGCTTCGTTGAGGGCAGAGGAGAGACTCATGAGACGCGCAAGCTCTTGTTCGAAATCTTCCCATTGAACGACCTTCACAATGTCCTTGTCTTGATTCTCTGCCGCTACTAAAGCCTTGTTTTTCGCTGTTTTTTGGTTCTGTTCCATCGAGAATTGAATTAGGGTTCAAGAAGATGAAGAAGAAAAGATCATCGACCAACCCCACCACCATCGTCCCAATTGGGCCAATTAGGGTTTCAATATCACCATCACCACCATCGAATTCACGTGATATATATATATAGTCGACGCGTAAAGGTCTCAAAGGAGTTCGATTCGAGAGTTTCGATTTCAGGGTAGCTTGGAAGAGCAGAGCGAGGGAGAGAGGTTTTCAGGACTCGTTTGCCTCGTGTTTTTGGGTTGTTTGTTTTGGCCGTGATAGGTCAAAAGTTAGTTTTTAAAAAAATATATAAACAAATAAAAAAATAATGCAACATAAAATATATTGGTCTTGTTTGGTTTGTGTTTTGGAAAAAAATTTGGGAAAAATTTTTTACAAATAATTTTTCAAAAATAATCAAATCAAATAATTTTTTTCAAAAAAATTTTTCAAAACTTGTTTGGTTTACAAATTTTTCAAACAAATCTCTCTCTCATACACATCAAATCAATCACTTTTTTCAAAACTCTCTCTGAAAATAAATTTTCAAAACATCTTTTGAAAAAAAACTAAACCAAACAAATTTTCGTACTTTTTATCTCAAAACATGTTTCTCAAATACAAACCAAACAAGGCCGTTAAAATCAATGAATAAGTGTTTTTATGATTTTATACTATAAAATAATCAAGGAAAAAAAATTATAATGAGTTTGATAATAATATTCTTATAGAGGTTTTGGATTCTCAAATTAAAATTGAAAAATAATCATGATGTTTAGTGTTAGAAAATTGTATTCACTTTTAAAAAATTAAATTTTTTATTTTTAGTTAATTTATGTAAATTTTTTATTTTTTAAATATACCTAATTTAATTACGCTTAAAAAATATAATATTTGTGAAAAATATATGTAAAAATTCACTAAATGCAAAAAAATGTAAAAATTTAATATATTTTTATATTTTGTTGTATTCAATAAATTTTTTTATAGATTTTTTGTACAAATTTTTAACTTTTAAATATATTAAGATTAAGTTGATCTAAAAATTTTATTAAAAAAAATGATTAAAATATTTTTAAAAACTCATTAAAAATATAAAAATACAAATTAAAAACTCATAAAAATGTTTTTAAAAATTCAAAACTAAACAGAATAATTTATTTTATTTTTTAGTTTTTAATTAAATTTATTTAAATTATTTTTATTATATGTGTCATATATAAAAGTTATATTAAATTTGTTGACACAAATTCTTAAAATAATAATAAATTTATAAGTAAAGTTGAACCAAATAATTATTGGGACCTCCAATTTTAAAGTGCAATCACATCTTCATACCAAATTACTAGTATGACGCTTCACGGATTATGAGATTAGGGCTCCATTAGTAGAACCCTAGAAAAGCGATTATACTTTATACTTTAGCAATTTATAGCTTATAATTGTGATTATAAGTTAATTTTTGACTTATAAATTAAGTTTGTCATCCCTCACTTAAAGAATAATTCATTTTTGACTTACAAAAAGTTTTAAGCTGTATTGTTAAGCTGAACCAAACACATCAAAATAGTTTAAATTAAGCTAAAAGCTGAAATAAACCCTACCAAACAGGGCCTAGGTATTGTTTGGTGTAACTTATTATAAGTTAAAAGTTGATAATTAAAAAATAGAACTAAAAATATCCCTTCCCTAGCTTCTAAATAATCTGATTTTCTCAGCTTATTTAAACTATCTCTGCCTAAAAAATTATAAGCAGAAACTGTACCAAGTAATTTGACACAAATTTTTACATTAAAATAAGTTATAATCACCCATATAATCTACACCAAATACCCCTATGAACTTCGTTTTTATGGGATATGAGATTCTAAATTAAATATGAAATATTAGACTGTTGTAATACTCTCTCTGTACCCCACTTTTTTTTAACAATTTACGTTGTGAAAAAATTAACTGAATGACAAATCATAGCTTAGCATATGCATTATACTTTATTATAAATGTGTCATTATAGGATGGGTTAGAAAAAAGTCATATGTAATATTTTATGATTAGTTAATAATATCACGTGCTAATAATAACATGATATTATTGTTATATTAAAATTTTACTCACTTTAACTTTATCATTTTGAAACCCAAATCTTAATTCTCACTAAACTAACCACGCCCTTAAATAGTAACTTTTACAAATACATTTATTTGTGTTCCACGGGGAAAGTTTGCAAACGAACCCAACATGTACTAAGGCCTAGTTTGGGAAGACTAAATAAGTGCATTTTTTGATTTTTTTTGTATTATGTGTAGAAAAAATAGAGAGGAGATGTTGATTGATGTGACCCAAAAAAGATAAAAAGATGAAATGAGTGCACTTTTTTCTTTGTAGCCAAACTTGGCCTAATTGTGTTCCACGGGGGAAAGTTTGCAAACGAACCCAACAGGTACTAATTCAAATGAGGGGGAAAAAAATAGTGCATCAATCTATGAGAAGATGCATTTTGTCTATTTTTATTTTGACTCCACAAGACAAGAGGCAAAATGGGCAAAGGGTGTATGCAATATAGGATATATTTTATTCATATTTTATTTATATTTTTGTTTTTCTTTCTAAATCATTAATCAAATTCATAAATTAAATACAATCTAAAACTCTATTTTTGTTTCCACATGATAAAGAGTTTTGAAAATTTCCCACCAAAGTGGGCTAAGTCATATATTCAAAAACAATAATATTACGAAGCAGATTTTAACTATTTAAAAATTATTTAGAATTATCATTTTTTCATTTTAAAAATATTATCATTTTACAAATATCACGTGAACAATTCTGTCACAACGCAATCAAAAACATATTATCCATGTTTATTTTGTATTTCTGAAACAATTTTCAAAAATAATTTTTTGAAAAGAATTTATAAAATTTAAAAATTTATTTAGTTATATATTTTGAAATTTTTTTTTTGAAATTTAGAATAATTCATAGTTGAATTGATGAGTGTCAAAAAAATAAATAAATAATTGATATGCCAAAAGAGAAGTAATTTTAAAAAAAAAAAATTCAAAAATTTTCAGCAGAACAAATTTTTAAATTTTTTTCTCAAAAATTATCTTTCAAAAGACAAACCAAACAAGACCATTGTCATTTTTATTTTTATTTTTGAAAATCATTACATTACACTGACAACAGCTTCACAACTTACAATGTTTGGGAACATAACATACACCACACCACAAGAAAATAGAGTTACAACAATCAGAACAAAGCAACTCAAACACAAGAAGACTACACACTGGTAAAGTAGTTCTAAGCAAAATACATAGTAAAGTTGCTGTAATATCTCAAGAGTAAAAAAACCATATGAATTAAACCTCTGCAATCACTAGCCAGAAAACCAGAAACCTCTTCTAATTTTGAAAATACATTTAACTAAAGCTGCATAGATGAAAAAAGGAGGAAAAAAATGCAAACAAAGTAGCCAAAAATCAGAAAATATTGATCACAGGAGCCCAAAAAAGGGACAATCTATAAAATTCAAATAAAAACACAATCTACTATCCATACCCAAAAAATAAGGCAGAGCTGGAACGAACCAACCGTGCATGGTCATTATATCAATTTCTCAATTCGTAAATAGTGAAATTGCTTATTTTCACATGATGCAACGTAACAAAGGAATATTACACAAGAAAATACTTCCAAGTTTAATAAAGTTGGTCACCTACCCAAAAGTCGTCCTTGCTGCATAGAATAACAGTTAAAAAAAAGCAGGCATGCCAATAAATATAAGTAAACTAAGCAAAACTCATGAAAAAAAAATCACATAAACCAACTAGCTATGGCATGACACAGAAAAATAATAGCAGAAACTTTTAATAAAACATTGTTTTAAATTAACAACCACAAGAGTAACAAAACCAAAGTCAAAACTTAAAACAAGTAAAATATTATTGTCACCACCGCCGATCCAGCACCCAATTCTGAGAGCAGCAACCGAGCGATGGGGACATAAAACTGCAGCAAACAGAGAAATAAACTAGACCAACAAAATGACTTGTGACCATAGGATCACCACACAGGTGGTCTTTTTTATGACAGTAATCAATTTGATAAAAAGGAGCAACATCAATAGAAACTCCAACCCGCACGGTTCACTTCTTCTTGGCAGCAGATTTGGTGACTTTAGCACCAGATGGATCCTTCTTCTCCACGTTCTTGATAACACCAACAGCAACAGTTTGACGCATGTCCCTGACTGCAAATCGTCCAAGTGGGGGGTACTCTGAGAATGTCTCCACAACCATGGGTTTGGTTGGTATCATCTTCACCATGCCAGAATCACCATTCTTCAAGAACTTGGGCTCCTTCTCAATCTCCTTGCCAGATCGACGATCAATCTTGGTAAGGATCTCAGCAAACTTGACAGCAATGTGGGAGGTGTGGCAGTCAAGAACTGGAGCATACCCATTACCAATCTGACCCGGGTGATTCATAATAATAACCTGGGAGGTGAAGTTTGCAGCTTCCTTGGCTGGATCATCCTTTGAGTTGGATGCAACAAAACCACGCTTGAGATCCTTCACTGCAACATTCTTCACGTTAAACCCAACATTGTCACCAGGCAAGGCTTCTAGCATAGCCTCGTGGTGCATCTCCACGGACTTGACTTCAGTGGTGAGCCCAGTTGGTCCAAAAGTTACAACCATACCAGGTTTGATGATACCAGTCTCAACCCTTCCTACTGGGACAGTACCAATACCGCCAATCTTGTAGACATCCTGAAGTGGGAGACGAAGAGGCTTGTCTGATGGCCTCTTGGGCTCTGTAATCATGTCGAGGGCATCAAGAAGGGTTGGGCCCTTGTACCAGTCGAGGTTGGTGGACCTCTCAATCATGTTGTCACCCTCAAAACCAGAGATTGGGACAAAAGGAATTTTGTCAGGGTTGTAACCAACCTTCTTCAGATAGGAAGAGACTTCCTTCACAATTTCATCATACCTTGCTTTTGAGTACTTAGGAGTGGTAGCATCCATCTAGAAGTAAGAAACCACAATTCAGATGATTACATGAATACAAAACAAAACAAAAAAATAAATAAAGAACTAACAGGCTACGCATTATTATTATATAAAATTATAATCTTTATGCAAATTGAAAACAGGCAAAACACAGGAAAGAAAAGAGGCCCCACTGCACAACAGAAGTATATCAACATTAAAATACAAATCTTGCAAGTTAAAAAATGTAGAAATAGACAAACAACAAGAGCAATTACACAAAAAGCATTATTGAGGATGAAATTATTATAAACTACAGAACAATTTAACAACAAGAATATCAACAGCTACCAAGTGCAACATGTAAAGTGAATATAGCACCAAAGAAACAAGCATCAACAAATTTGAATCCATCGGGATTGACGGGGCTCGAACCCGCAGCTTCCACCTCGAAAAAAGGTGGTGCTCTAACCAATTGAACTACAATCCCGAGATAACAATTTTAATCTAGAAGCTCTTTGTAATGGTCGCCCCTCTCATTTCGCACTTGGTATTAAAGATTTCTCTTGCATACAAGAGACCAGCACTTGCACGCGCAAAATGAGGGGTGCCAGTTCAAAAGAGGTGCATTGAATATCCATTATAGATTGCAAACAGCACAGAACACAGCACACCAAAAGTGAAATTTTAGATTCAAATACAATAATATACTGACCTTGTTACAGCAGCAAATCATCTGCCTCACTCCAAGAGTAAAAGCAAGGAGGGCATGTTCACGGGTCTGACCATCCTTCGAGATACCAGCCTCAAAACCACCAGTGGTGGAATCAATGATAAGAACAGCACAGTCAGCCTGGGATGTACCAGTAATCATGTTCTTAATAAAGTCGCGATGTCCAGGAGCATCAATGACTGTGCAGTAGTACTTGGTGGTCTCAAATTTCCACAAAGCAATATCAATGGTGATACCGCGTTCACGTTCAGCCTTGAGTTTGTCCAACACCCAGGCATATTTGAATGACCTTTTGTTCATTTCAGCAGCTTCCTTCTCAAACCTCTCAATCACCCGCTTGTCGATTCCTCCCAATTTGTAAATGAGATGCCCAGTTGTGGTCGACTTGCCAGAGTCGACATGGCCAATGACAACAATGTTGATGTGAAACTTTTCCTTACCCATTATAAAACTCTAGAGTCAAACTGCAATAGAAAATCCAAAACAGCAAGATAAATCAGGTAAATGGGAATAAAACAAAATTCACATAGGCAGATTATAACAATTCAATTTATTACTTATTTCAACTCAAAAACATCAATTGAAATTTTTTGATGGTTACACACATAAAATTGATAGCTCTTCCAGACAAATATGTAGATAAATACACAAGTATTACATGATTCATAATTAAATAGGATTGAATCATTTTATATGGACCCAAAAAGCCATCACAAAACAAAGTTCTAAACAAGGCCAACCAGGAATATAAATTTTCAAAAAAAAAAAGGCTTTGATCAACAAATTCTTTAAGACAATTTTCAAGATTTTTCTGTTTTACAGTGCTTATACACTAGAAGCACCTAAAACTATCAAAATACAAACAAATAAAACTTTTTAAATAAAATCAGCTTTATCGCCTGACATAATTTTTTTTTCAAACTTGATCTGCTTCTAAACTTTTAGGTGTAGAATAAAAGATCACAAAACATTAAAAATAAAAATTGGATTTAATATATTCTAGGAAAAAACAAACTAGGTCTAGATAATAAAAATTACATCTGAACACAGAATTAAAAATATATAACAGATCTTGAATTCATGAGTAAATAACATCCACAACATGTTCAACTGGCATGTGTACATATCACACCCCAACAAAAAAAATATATATATAGAAAAAAAGTTTTAGAACTCTTACTAGAAAAAATAGAGTGGATAAATATGACATAATCAAGTGACTAATAACAAGAAGAAACAAATTAATAAACAGAACCAGATCATAGATAACAACTTCACACCTAATAAAAAAAAAACTAAAAAATCATAGGTGTGTATATATATACACATATACAGATACCAAGATTAGATCTGAAGCATGAACAACAAAATCAAAAATAAAAATCATAGCAGCAGATTTTTCATCATGTGATATCCACAAACAATTCTGAATCTATAAAACAGTAATCAATAAAATCGTTTGAATAACAAAATAACAGATCTAGCAAAATCAGCAACAGATCAGATGCAAACCCAAACCATATACAATCAAGCACACCACATAGTTCAACAGACAGATACATACATATATACGATTGTGAGTGAAGAAGAATGAAAAGAAAATCGGATATACCTTGAAGCGCAGAGAGAGTCTTGAGACGATGCAACGAAGCAGATAGAGAGAGAGAGAGAGATTGAGGGAGATAGCGAACTAGGGTTTGTGAGGTGAGACTCGTTTTATAGAGGAAAAGTTTAGTCGAAAGGCTAGGGTTTTGGAAGGACCTCCAACCTTAATAATTTGACGATAATAACCCTGTGTTGAGATCTAAATCACCATTTACCTAACTCCTCCCTTTCTTGTAACCCAAGCATGTAACCCAAGCATGAAGTCAATGGTGGAACATTTCCTCTTAATATTTAAAAATTAAGTTATTTACATCGAAACCCCTTAAATTATTAAAAATTATTACTGTACACTTCTTAAATTATAAAAATATAAATAGATCCTGTAAATTATTGATAAGTATCGATTTATCCTCTAAATTATAAAATTGTTCAAATGGATCCCTAATTATTAAAAAAAATAAAAATCACTCTACTTGGTTTTGCTTTCCAAAATTTACTTTTCAGAAAAAATCTATTTTTTTTGTTTTCACTGAATGCTTTTAATATTTAAAACAATTTGTTTAATTTTTAGCCACACCTAACAAAAATATACTTAAAAATTATATATTGTGTTTGGTAGAGTTTTGTAAATATGATTTAAGAGTATGAGTTGTATTTTGAGTTTCTGAGTTGTGGAATTATAATTTGAGTGTAGAAAATTTGTTTGGTTATGATTTTTGAATAGAGTGTAGAATTGAGTTTTGAAAGTTTGATTTGACATATAAAGTAAGAAAATTTGTTTAGTTATGAGTTTTAAAAATTTTTAAAACTCAATTCAAATTGTTATAACTCATAACAAAACACACTACTTTCACACTATTGAAAATTCTGATCAACACTCATAACCAAACTCTTTTTAAATTCAATTAAAGAAATTTATTATTAATAGAAAATAACATTAATCAATTTTTTAATTGAAAATACTACAAAGGAAATAATTTTTTTTCAAAATAAATATTCAAAAAAATTTAAATCATAAATATTTAAATAATCTAAAAAATTTAATAAGTACAAAATTAAAATAAATATTCAAAAAATTTAAATCGTAAAAATTTAAATAATTTAAAAATTCAAAAAATTTAAATAATTTTAAATGTTAATATTTTAAATTTAAAAGCAACTCTACACTCAAATCGTAACCAAACACATAAAACAAAAGCCAATTATGAAATTATTTTTAAAACGCATAACCAAACGCATAACTCGAAACTCCATACGACTTTCACAACTCTACACCTAAATCGTAACCAAATACATTGCAAAAAAATTAAAATACTTAAAAATATTTCTATAAAATTGAGTTTGAATTTATTTTAATAAAATATTTTAAAATTTAAATACTGAGAATCGTAATATTTTGAAATTGAAATATTTAAAAATATTCAAAAAATTTAAAAAATGCATAACATATTTAAATATTAAAATATTTAAAATCTTAACAAAATTGAAATATTTTTAAAATATTTAAAATATTTAAAAATTTAAAATATTTAAAAATTTAAAATATTGATTTGAATTGAGTTTTGAAAAGAGTTTTAAATTATGTGTTTGGTTATGAGTTTTGAAAAGTAATAATTATGTTTTGAATTGAATTTTGAGAAATTGGTGTAGAATTATGATTTGAAAACTCAAAACAAACAATACACTCAAATTAATGTGTGGAACTATAATTTGAGAGTTGTGCCAAACAGAGCTAATTTTCTGAAAACAAACTTTAAAAAATTCACTAAATACCAAAAATATAAAAACTCAGTATATTTTTCATATTTTTGTGTATTTATTAATTTTTTAAAATATTTTACTTTTTAGATACGTCTAAATAAGGTGCATCTGAAAAAGTAAAAAAATTATTAAAATTTGAAAAATATTCACTAAAAATAAAAATAAAAATAAAAATATGAAAAATAAAAAAACTCAATTTTTAAAAAATTGAAACCAAACATACAAAATTGGGCCCCTAATGGAAGGGGTCAAAGTAAAACATACTAATAATTTAAGGTTTTATTTATACAATTTTATAATTTATGGGGCAAAATGATACTTCTCAATAGTTTAGGAATTTATTTGTACACTTTTATAATTTAAGAAGTCAAGATAATATTTCTCAATAGTTTAAAATTTTGTGTGTAAATAACCCTTACAAACTGAAAATAAAACAGCACTATTTTAATTTTGTGTTTAGTTTTGAGTTTTAAATATTTTTTTTATTGTTTGTGTTTTTTAGCCTTTTGTTAATTTTGTTAATATTTTAATTAATTTTTTATTTCTTACAAATAGTTAAAAATATATATATTTATAAAAAAATAGATACTCAGACCAGAAAATAAATTATAAATTTTTTTGGTCAATATGCCTAAGCTTTATTCTTTTTAGTATGAAAGGACAATTTAAATTTTAAAAAAAATATTTTACCCTTATTTATTTATCTATTTATTTATCCACGTGTCACCTTGCTTGGTCTATGTGTCACCTGAACTTGGAGAGGGTGTTGTGCATTTATAGGCATAGCACTGTATTGTAAGATCGTGGAAGCATTTTCTAAATCTAATTCGATGATCTTAACCGTTCATATTGTAAGTTTCGTCAAGTAGATCATCTATGGAAAAAATCAAATAAATTAGACGTTTATAACCCATAATAATACCACATTTATATTTTAAAAAAATAAACAGCTATCATAATTTTGATAATTTTTTTAAAACAATTATGGTTTGATCATGAGGCTATGCATGTTCGATTAACCTCATCTTTTACATGAATGATATACTTAATGAATTTTATAATATGAACGATTCAAATCATTAAAATAAAATCGAAGCAAACCTCAACCGAGGCGTATCACCCTCATTTTATCCGTATCACCTATCTGCCCATATAATCAACTTATTTGTCCATATCATCACCAGCACTATTATCCTTGTTGGCCACTGTCGTCAAACTTTTCGGCAGAGTCCAACGTGGGGTACAACAAAAATTATATATTCAAAAAATAAACAATTTCATTAAAATATGTCACTATCATCAAAACATATCAAACATATGGGTTGTACGAGTACGAAATAATCCTCTCGTATAATCCTGTTGACTAAGTTTGCGCTCCTTCAAACGTCGTCACTTTGCTACTTGAAAACACACGTGAGCTAGCTGGCGGGTGTGTGTCAGAAACCCCTCTGATGCCTAAGTCAGCCAGTAAACAATAGACAATAAGCTCTATTTATTTAAGAATAAGAATTGCAATACCTGTTCATAAGTTTTGTCCGGAGCTTTAATAGATTCCGCCAAGCACAATCCTAGTAGGACTCTAACTCTCCTTAGCAGAGTCCTCATAGGAGTCTCATATCTGAAGATAATGTTTATCCTTAGAGCACCCTGCTCGCTGCAAACCAACTGAGATGGTTAACTCTAACTCTCCTTAGTAGAGTCTTTCTATGAATCATTTTTCTACAGGATAATGCCTATCCTAATAACACCCTACATCTGGTACAAATACTTTGATCGGGCCGCACAATCACTAATTGCTTTGAATCCTCTCGTTGGGCTATCTCTAGCTTGACTTCCTTTATGTGGCAGACATAGCATTTCGGCACGCCCACTGACCGCATCTAGAACTCATTGACTGGCTTGTCAACCATTGTTCCCACACCGAGCTATCCTGAGCTCGTAACTTGGCCTACAACGCATCCGAATATTCAGAAACAACGCTTCCTAGCTCGGCCCAATTTGGCTACACAAATTACCCTCTTAGGGGTGTATAAAAAAAATCGATTAAACTGATAAACCGGTTTAATCTACCAGTTTGGTCTAATTTTTATTAGATTTGGTTTTGGTTCTGAAAATGATGGAACCATTTAAATCGGTTTGATTCCTAGTTTCAAAACTTTTTTTACTATTATGAATTGAACAGTACCGGACCGTAATATATTTGTTTATTATTTTTGTACGTAAAAATTAAAATATAAAAAATTTCTCATAAGACTTGAAGACTAATCTTCATTGGAAAATTTATAAAGTCTAACCAACTTACCCAAACTAATTATTGTTAGTTTCTTTATTAATAGAAAATATGTATCGTATTTATTATTATATAAAATTTATAGAACCGTAAAGCCACACCAAACCAGTTTCTGTGGTTCAATTCTGGTCCGATTCCATAGATTTAACGATTTAGCTATGGTTCCAATTTTTTCTGAAACCTTAAAAATTGGTTCAATTCTTGTTTTACTCTAAAATCTGACCAATTTGATCCATGTACACCTTAATCAAATCTTAAACTAAATAGCATATGGCCCATGGGTGTTGACTTCTCACCAATTTATCCGTTAAAAAATCTTTAAAAATTTCACTAAATACAAAAAAAAATATATTTATTGACATTTTTTTTAGATTTCCCTATAAATATTTTATTTTTTAAGTGCATCTAACTTAAATGCATTTAAAAAAATTTTAAAAAAATAACTAAGGTTTTGTTTGGGAACTAAGTATTTTACCCAAAAAAACACTATAAGTTGTCACATCACTCTCTCTATTTTTTTGCACATATTTTCATAAAAAATAAAAAAATTACTAAAATAGCATGATTCCAAACGAGACCTAAATATATGAAGAAAAAAAAATCTATAAAGACAACAAAACATAAAAAGCTAAAAAAAAATGTATTTAAAAATTCAAAATCAAACAAAGTGAATTTTATTTTTTCAGCGAAATTACATTTACATTCCTCAACCATCCAAATAAAAATAAATCAATTTCATTTTATTCTAAATATATGTTTGAATAAGGTTTGGATATTCTCCCAAGTTGGATCACTTGAGAGAAACAGTTGGGCTCGGGCCCTATTTTGATTATCTAAACAGTTTATTTTTTTATGACACATTAGTCATGTTTGATTTATAAGACTAATAGTGAATATATTAATAATTCTATCAAATTAGTGTGGTATTCACTATCCAATTAAATTAGTAGAATAAATTATCCCCTTGTACATTATTTGATTTGCATTGGATAAGAAAACATATGAATGTACGATTACAATTATATTTATTTTCTTTTCCAATATTACATTCCATCAATGTTTCTTCATAATCTTTAATTTATTCAAATTTCTTTATAAACGTGGTTTTGAAAAA